TGGGACTCGATCCCGGGACTCCAGGATCATGACCTGAGCCGAAGGCAGTCGCTTAACCAACTGAGCCACCCAGGCGCCCCGACATGGAATTTTTTAAAAACATGATTCAATTAATCATTCTGATCAAGTTAAATATATCAGTTTGGTGCAATCATGTCTTTAACATCTTTCTAACTCTTGTTAACATTTTTCTTCTTTTTTTTTTTTTAACAAAAAGAGATAGTCTCCAGGCAGGCAAGAACTGGCTAAAATGCAATAACATCATTTGGTATTTATTGAACTTCTATTTATATTAATCTCTACTTATGGCAAATGATACTGGTTTTTCTTTTATAGTAATAACATAAAAATCTTAATTTTGTTGTTTAGGTGAGTAATTATGTACAAAATAGTAATAACACAGGCGGTATGCTGATATTACAAAACTATGAAAGTGGTATGCAAATAATGACTTTGCACTAGAGAGCAAGAAATCGAACAATATGGGACGCCTGGGTGGCTCCATCAGTTAAGCATCTGCCTTTGATCTCAGGGTCCTGGGATCCAGCCCCACATCAGGCTTCCTGCTCAGCGGGGAGCCTGCTTCTCCTTCTCCCTCTGCCTGCCACTCTGCCTACTTGTGCTCTCTGCTCTCTCTCGTGTTCTCTCTCTCAAATAAATAAAATCTTAAAAAAATATACACAAATAACTTGTAGATTAAGGAAATAATAAATTATAAACTACAAATTATAATGCCTATAATTTATTTAAAGGCGTGAAAAAGGTAAGATGGATTAATGGAGGAAGGATGTATAGAGATGTGATGAAGCAAGAATAAAAAAATCTTAGTGGTAGAATCTACCAGTAGATGATATGGGTGTTCACTGTAGAATTCTTCCAACTCTGTGTATGTTTGGAAATGCTCAAAATAAAATGTTGGGAGAAATAAATAAATTAGAAATTATTTGAAAGGAATGACAACAGGGGTGCCTGGGTGGCTCAGTCATTAAGCAGCTGCCTTTGGCTCAGGTCATGATCCCAGGGTCCTGGGATTGAGCCCCATGTCAGGCTCCCTGCTCAGCCAGGGAGTCTGCTTCCTCTCCCACTCCCCCTGCTTGTGTTCCCTCTCTCACTGTCTCTCTCTTTCTCATAAATAAAATCTTTTCTTAAAAAAAGAAAAGAAAGGAGTGACAACATAGGGGCACCTGGGTGGCTCAGCGGGTTAAGCATCTGCCTTCGGCTCAGGTCATGAGCCCAGTGTCCTGGGATCAAGCCCCACAATGGGCTCCCTGCTCAACGGGGAGTCTGCTTCTCCCTCATCCACTGCCCTTGTCCCCACTTGTGCTCACTTGTGCTCTCTCTCATGCTCTCTCTCCCAACAAATAAATAAAAATCTTAAAAAAAAAAAAAAAGGAATGACAACATAAGCATTATGTATCAAAACCTATATACTGCAGCCAAACAGTACTCAAAAAATATGTTGGGTTACATGCATATAGTAGAAAATAATAAAATTTTAAAATAAGTGAATAAAACATTTAAAAAACTAGACAAAAGATTATCAACTAATTACTCAAAACTAAAGCAAAAACCAATGAAAAGGAAAAAATAAAACAAACAGATTTGCTCAATAAAGCCAAAAGATGGTATCTGCGAAGACCAATAAAATGGCCAAAACTTTGACAAATCTTAGCAAGATAAAGGGAGAGAAGACACAAATTTTTTAAAAATAAAGATGAAAAAGATAACTACAGAAATAAAGGAAAGTTTTAAATTGTGAGACTCTGCAGCACAACTTTATACTAATAAATTTGAAATGAATGTTTTAGATGAAATGGGTTCTTTCTAGGAAGAAATTACCAAAAATGACTCAAAAAGAGATTCTTTGGATGAAGACATCAATAATCATTTAAAAAATTGAAAAGGTAGCTGACCATCTGCCCTTGAAAATGGTACCCAGACAAGATTGTCTATGACTAAATTTTAGCAAAGTTTCAAGGAACAGATAATAATCTATTTGTTCTATTGGTATTTTTAGGTTTCAGAGCATAAAAAGGTGGAAAGCTTCCCAAGTCAAGCTGCTAAGCTAGCATACCTGATAGCAACACAGAGAACACCAAAAAATAAATCTATAGGTTAATCTTGTTTATGGAATATATAAATGCAAAATAAAAATCTACGAATCAATCTAGCAGTCTGGTAAAAGAATAATATATTATGAACAAGTAGGGTTTATCCCAAGAATTTAAAGATGATTCAGCAGCAATAAATCTATTAATATATTTTACTTTATTAGCATATTAAAAAAGAAAAAGCCCATATCATCTCAATGGATGGAAAAATCATCTCATAAAACATGAATACTCATTCCAGATTAAAAAGGAAAAAAAAAAAAAAAACCTCAGCAAGACCAAAAGGAAACTTACTTAACTTGATAAAAGTTTATCTCCCATAAACCTACAGAGTAAACCTCATACAATCCCCATTTGTGCCTGTATCACTGATCGCCTCTCAACCCCACATGCCTCCTTTGCCGGCAGCTTGGTCAACCTGGATGCTTGCTCTAATTAGTTCTCTTTTGCCCTTGTGCCACAATGATAAGCTTTGTCAGTAGAGGGTGCCGGAGGGACACGAGAGGAGAGCTTCTCTCCTTGGTTCCAGTGTCCTTCCTCTTTTGTTCCTGGGGCACATGGCTGACAGTGGCATGTGTGTGGGACACTGATGCCACTTATTCACCAACGAGTTTTGTTGACACAACAGGATTCTTGCTTACCAAAGAGCCCACCGTTCCCAGTTTGCCCACTTTATCCCACTACCTATGAACCTGCTCTGATGCAGAACAACAAAGCGAACATCTCTCTCTGTTTATCCCTTCCTTGGATCCAATCCTTCGAACCTAGGATGGTCTTTAGAGTTCTCTTTTATCCTTTCTTTGTAGCCAATCCCTGAATGATTCTTTTGCTAAATGTTCCCTGCTGAAACTACTGGTGTGTTTTCTGTCACCTAACTGAACCGTGATTCAAAACTGGTACCAAAAATACCTTCTGTCCCACCTTCTCATTCATATGTCTTATTAAGGCATCCAAAGTTCTTGCTACGTCCTGTTCATCAGATAGAATCAACATAATGCTGTGGACTACCCCAACGTCTTGCAGAAAGCCAGAGCAAGCAGTGTCTCTGTGGACGGCATTATGGCCCTGATGTGAGCCTGTGAGGGTATACTGTTGGCCCTGCCAGGTAAAAAGCAAACTGCTTCTGGAGGTTCTTCCAAACTGGGTTGGAGACACAAGCTTTGGTCAGGTGAAGGTTAATAGCTGCCTACCAAGTGCCAGTGGCCTTTGAAGAATTTCTCCAGTCAAGATACTACACCCGGAACTGTAGAGCTACAGTTGGAGTCATCACCTGACTCCACTTAAAATAGCCCCAGTCATTGTCCAAGATCATTCAACTCAACAGGCCACACAGCTGAGTTAAATGGGGATGTGGTAAGTACCACTACCTCTGCTTCTTTCTTTTTTGGTGGCACTAATTTCTGCAGTTGCAGCAGGCATGCAGCATTTGCTCATGATTTACTATGCTGGTAGGAAGGGGAAGTTCCAGAGACTTCTACTTAGCCTTTACCACTATGATAGCCCTCACTCCATAGGTCAGAGAGCCAGTGTGGAAATTCTGTCTGTTGCTGAGAATGTCTATTCCAATTATATGTTCCATCATGGGAAATAACTACAGGGTGGATCCACAGAACAAGTGGGCCCGGAGTAAATCAGACTTCGGCTCAGGTCGTGATCCCGGGGTCCTAGGGCCAAGCCCCCCATCAGGCTCCCTGCTCAGTGGGGAGCCTGCTTCTCCCTCTCCCACTCCCCTGCTTGTGTTCCCTCTCTCGCTGTGTCTCTGTCAAATGAATAAATAAAATCTTAAAAAAAAAAAGTATTTATGTATTGCTTGTGTTACTGGGTTGTCGATCTAGGAAACGCTGACTTTACCCACGCATCATCCATTTATCCACCAACTCATCTGACTGTTATTAAGCACATGCTAACTATGCATCTAACACTCGAGCAAGTAACATGGTACATAATCCCTAAACTTCCTGGGTGTAAGACCCTCTTCCTAATAGCCTACCAGATTTTTGTTTTCAGTAAGGCCCTCTGAGATAGCATCTGTAAAGTATTTTCTTTAACCACAAATTTGGAATTGTTTACTGAAAATTTATGAGCTTTCTCAAAGAAGCTAGACCGAATTGTAAGCTAGACATTTTTTCCTTATTCATCTAACAGGGTTATCTTTTTAAAACTCCACTCAGCTTAGTTTGTTATTAGTTTTAGAAATACTAAGTAAAACCATTTCAGTCACATAATTCACACAAGAAGAAATAAGATGAATAAAGAAATATATGAAAAATGGTCAATTTTTCAATTCTATTAGCAAAATAAAACAACTCATTAAATTAACACCTTAAAAATATCTAAAATGCCTGGTGTGGTTGATGATACCTTGAAATTAGTGTCAGCAATTTACATTGTTGATGGTAGTGTAGAATAGAAAGTATTAGCAATATTTATCAAGAGTCCAGTCTCTCTGACATAACACTGTCATGTTTCAGATTTACTTTTGGTAAGTAACTGCAATGAAGGAAAACAGTTTTTTGGGCAAAGCTTTCATTACTGCATTATTTATAATAATGAAACTTGGAAATAATCTAAATATCCAAAATAAAGGGTAACAAGCAAACTATGGCATAATCATTCAATAGAACATAAAACTATTTTAAACTGTTTTATGAAGACACTGTAATAACATGAAAAAAAATGGGTGAAAAAGCAATTGACAATTAAAAAAAGTGTTCCCTCAACTAAGAGTATGTTATTTTAATAATTTTAAAAATCAGTAAATTTTATTTTAAAATTATGACTGTGAGGACTATAGGAGCAAGAAAACAGTTTCTTGTATAATGCTAAATGATAAAGGCAGAAGACAAAATTTTACCTGTACTCAAATTACAGCTTTATAAAATATTCATTCAGATAGATAACTGTAAGACAAGACATGGGCTACAGCTCATTTATCAGGCCGGTAGAATTATGGTTGATTTTTTTTATCCCTCAACAAATTTTTCCTTAAAAAAGATTTTTTTTTGCCATCCTTGGTATTTTGTAAGTGGAACACAAACCCATTAGAGGGTAGAAAAGTTTTGGTGACCCACCTGCTGCTCCTTTCTAAGGAACATTTCAATCTCCATATGAATCCTGTTCTCTTCTTCAGTTTTCAACCTCAGCTTCTGTGACAACAATAAACCAATATCAGGAATTCTTGCCATGAGAAGTTCTCAAGATTAGAGGTGTAGCTGTGACCATATCTCAGTTTTCTTTACCAGCTGGGATCCCAAGATTCCTGCCGTATTGCTCTAGGGCGGCAAATCATTCCCTTCAACCCAAATAGTGTTCACGAACATCACTGAGCCATGTGTCGGGCACTGTGTGGGACATGACATGTGCCAGTGCCCAGGACAAAAGGACCAGGATCCACTTGCCTGGATAAAGTGATGTCAATTTAAGGAGAGAAACAATGCTTCAGGGGCACAAGGTTCTTAGGCCTAGAAAAGGAAATTCCAGAGTGCAAGGAAAGTTTGTAGTCAGAGTTGTATGACAAACCCAGGGGAGTAAGCTTTCAAATAAGCGGGGGCCCAGAGAAAGCAGTCCTCCTCCCCATGGATGAGCCTACTCAGGTTTGCTCCTTCCCACCTACCCACTGTTCGTTTAGCCATTGTAGCCTTCCTTTTCTAATGAGGGTCTACTCTTTGTTTCTTTCTCCTGATAATTTTCCACCGTGACTTCCCAGCTTTATAAATTTAGGTTTGAATGAAGTTCAGCTCTCTTGATTTTATATTTCTTAATGGAGGGATAAAAGGTACCAGTTGGGCAGCAGCAAAAAATGACACTTAGTAAGTATCTTGAAACGGCAACTGGTTTTATAAAATAAGGATAAAGTGACCAAGGGCAGAAAGCACAACTGATTTTCAAAGTCATCACCAAAAACAGTGGATGTAGGCTACAGCCCATCAGAATCTCTGCCTGCAAATACACAAGACCTCATTTTGTTTTTATTTCTAGTCTCAAATGTGAGAGCTGCAGGAGAGATGGAGCAAAGATCAAGAAAATCTCCCCCTGCTTCCTCCTCTGTTCACTGAGGCAATACAAAGAGTGACAGCTCGAATGCTGTGTACCGTGTTCACTCCCAATGTAGCAGTGATTACCCCTATCTCTTCCAGCAAGAGCTCCTCAGTTCTGTTACATTTCTTCTGGGTCTGGGAGATCTGCAGCTCAGTGTTTTTCTTCATGTAGCGATTTTCCATGTTGGTTTTTGCCTTCATCTCTTGCAACTGGTCCTTGAGGTGAGCAATATATTCATTCCGACTCTGTAGAGGTAAGACCAAGTTTCTAAATTAAAATACATTCGGGGGCGCCTGGGTAGCTCAGTTCGTTGGGCATCTGACTCTTGATTTTGACTCAGGTCATGATCTCAGGGTCATAAGATGGAGCCTGGCATTAGGCTCTTTGCTCAGTAGGGAATCTGCTTGAGGTTCTCTCTCTCTCCCCCTCCCTTTCCCTTTGCCCCTCTCCCTGGCCTCTCTCTCTCTTTCTAAAATAAATAAATCATTTTAAAAATAATAAAGTAAAAAAAAATACATTCTACCTCCATTCAGTTCAGCCAATGGCTAAAGCCTACCTTTTGTATTTATAAATCAACAAGAAACTAGATCTATTTTTCTATTATTGCACTATAGGAAAGTTAGCCAATAATCATGGATAGTATACATGAAAATGAAGGATAAGTAGTTCTAAGCATCAGGAATGGGAGATTCTTTCCTAGGTACACTATTTGGGTAGTCTGTATGCACAAAGATTTCCCATTACTGTCTCAGTTTGGTAGAAAGATCCCTGGTCTAAATGATCAAAAGACCTGTCTTCCCACCCAAGCCCCCAGTAGCTGTGTTAACCTGGCCAAGTCAGTTAAACTCGCCAAGTCTTACCTTCTGTAAAATAAAAACATTAATATCTGCCCTGTCTGGAATATCTCAGCAAGTGATTATAGGGGAATTAATTAAGAATGTGTAAAAACTCTTTGGAGGTCACAGAGTGCTTGGCAATTTTAAGGTTTCCATATTCATTCAAAAAATATTCATTCAGTACCATACTAAGTTAAATAGTGGAGACCTAATAGACATTGTCTTTGCCTTCATAAAGCTTACAGTCTAGTGATAGAGATGTGATTAAAATAAAGCACACTTTTTGGGGCACCTGGCTGGCTCAGTCGGTGGAACGTGTGCCTCTTGATCTCAGGGTTATGAGTTCGAGCCCACGCTGGGTGTAGTGATTACTTAAAAATAAAATCTTAAGGGGTGCCTGGGTGGCTCAGTGAGCTGGGCAGCTAACTCTTGATTTCAGCTCAGATCATAATCTCAGGGTCATGAGATCAAGCCCCATGTTGGGCTCCCTGCTCAGCGGGGAGTCTGCTTCAGGATTCTCTCCCTCTGCCCTTCTGCCTGCTTGCTCTCTCTCTTTCTCTCTAAAATAAATAAGTAAATCCTTAAAAAAATAAAATAAATAAATAAAATCTTAAAAAAGAAAGCAAACTTTTTTAAAGGCACAAAACACTATTAAAGAATAGGACAACAGGCCGTGGGACAGAGTAACAATGGAGGCCCACATTAGATCAGATAGTCTATAAAGGAATGTTAAATCTGGCACCTGAACAATAAGTATGTATGTCACATGAAAAGTGGGGTCAAGGAAGAGTCTAAGAAAAAGGAAAAATACGTGCCTGAGTCCTGAGGCAGCAAAAACCCGGATACATTCCAGGAACTGAAAAAAAACTCCGGAGACTATCCCAGCAAGGGTTGAGAGTTGGACAAGATGAGGTTGTAGAGGGAGGTAGGATGGACCATGTAGGACCTCACAGGCACTCGTATGGAGTTTGAACTGTAATCCAAGGGCCATGGGAAGCCTCGGAAGGGTTTTAGGGAGGTAACATCTGATTGAGAAGAATCAGACACAGCACGAGTAATTTCACAGAGAGATGATCAGTTAGCTGACAGCATGACAAGCCAATACAATCAATAATGAAAATGCATTGCTTTAGTCAGAGATCTCTGTTTCTCTAAATACCAACCAACTTTAGCTGTACCATGGAAGTTGGGTGGAGTTAGTTCTAAGCATTAGAAGAAGAAGCAGAGCAGAAATCGGTCAAGATCGTCCACGATGAAAAGCAAACACGGTTTAAAGGATCATAGGCCCCTAAAAATAGTCAGAAAGGAACTCTTCAAGCATCTTGTCTGGCTTCTTGGTGTAACTCTATGGAATCATTCCAATTACCCAGTAGTTACTACCACGGTATCGGAGCCCCTCCAAGAAGATAAGTATCTCTGGCAGAGAACATGCGAGAAGCCCAGTTGCTAATACATCGCAGTACTTCTTAACCTCTTACAAGTTGTAGGATTGTGAGCAATTTACTTAACCTAAGACCTTTCTCAACTGTAGAATCCTGCCAGTGCCTCACACAACTTAGCTACTCAATAAATGCTTATTAAATGCATTTTAAGAGAGGCCTTTTTTGGCTCACTTTTCCCCCTTCCCTTCTTTCTACACTCTCCTCCCTTTTCCCAGCTCTTCCCATTTTGCTTCGCTCCTCCCTCCTAGTTCAAGCTGTATGGTAGTCAGCAATAAAGTCTGGGTTTCCAGGAAGACCTGAGTTAGAGTGAAGTGCGACAGCTTCACTTCCTCATTGGCTGGAATCTTTATACCCATCTAACCGCTTAGTCTTTCTTCGAGACCCTGCTTATAGGCCACTGAAGTCCAGACAACCTTTTCTAGAAAACCTGAGCCCATATAAATGACTGTAGTTTTATTTCTCACAGAATCTAATGGTGTTGAACAGTTACGTATTCATTAAATAGCATCCATACAAAGATATACTTTCAAAAACTCAAGAAAATGTTCTTGTCAGTTTTCTTTAACAAACCGAATATTGAGTCTTTCAGAGTAAAAATATGAAGATCCGAAATGCAGAGTTAAAACTCTAGGAGGTTCTGTCTATGGCAAGCAAAAGGTATTATGTTACGTAACTTAATAAGGTCATAAACCATTGGTCTACAATTACCCTGTGCCAAGCCAAAGGCATCTGGTTTCAGTGCTGTTGCCATGGGCATCAGATTATTCCCTCCTATACTGCTGTTCTGCACAACTTGTGGCCTTCTATGGTGACTGCGTGGGAACAGAGGAAGATATAAAATATCGACAGGCTAGTGATGGTAAAACCATGATCAAATGCACTGCAGCATCATTCCATATCTTCATCTTCCCGGTCTGCAAAAAGGAGGCAACCTAGAAGCAGGGCGGGTACAGGCCAAGGGTCGTGGGTTGTAGGAGTTCCTTTTAAGATTCTCACTACGAAAAGATCTGCCCTTACCACAACCCACCAGCATAACCCTGGTCGCCCAGGGTGTCTACAGCCTTCCCCATGATCAAGGTCTGTGGACTGATGCAGCATATTTGTGGGTTTTTGTAGCAGACCAAACTTGACTTACAAATCCCCAAATTGCCTTCAGATCTGTACTCGTTATTTGAATTCAGAGGAGGATGATTTAGTAATGGAAACAAGCAGTCAACCAATTATAGTTAATAAGGCTCCAATGGCTGCCACAAAAGTGTGAGCCAAAGGATTTTAATGGTAGTGTCCGTTTTCATAATTGAACACCAAGTAGGGATGAGGGTTTGGTTGGAGGGAAAAAGGAAAACGGGAATGTGGTCTATTAAAGTGACAAAAGCCAAAGAAAAAAATACAATTCTGTATTAAGTTAACATCTGTATTTGTCTGTCTAGGACTAAGAATAGTGGCTGATTCTAGAACAGTCTCTGAATAAACTCTGAGCTACACAGTCACCCATTCTAAGATGCAGATGAAACAGGTCTAGACTTCTAAAGTTTCAGGCTCCAATTCCAGCCATTCCTTCATTTCCATTTGAACAATTCCCGTTTCAATTGTACAAATTTCCTCCTCCCTTTTGTAATAAAGTTTCCATACACCTCACTGTCTTGACTGATCTCCTCTGAGTAAACTCCTTTAAATGTAATGCCTAAAACTATATACAATATTATAAATGTCTAACTACAACAGAGAGCACAGGAGTATTTTTTTCCCTGTTGTATAAACACTATATAGTGCCACAAACTGCAGTAATCAAAACAAAGAGGAAGCACTTCAAATGCTTTTGACGAGACTGGTCAGGATTGTCAGGGTTCTGAGGACAATCCAGTAGAAGCAGCACTGTAAAATCTACAGAAGATGGGAAGGTAGGCACCTTTTAAAAATGCTGTTACTGGGCGCCTGGGTGGCTCAGTCGTTAAGCGTCTGCCTTCGGCTCAGGTCATGATCCCAGGGTCCTGGGATCAAGTCCCACATCGGGCTCCCTGCTCGGCAGGAAGCCTGCTTCTCCCTCTGACCCTCTCCCCTGCTTGTGTTCCTGCTCTGCTGTCTCTCTCTCTGTCAAATAAATAAATAAAATCTTAAAAATAAATAAATAAATAAAAATGCTGTTACTACAGAGCACCTGGGTGGCTCAGTTGGTTAAGCGTCTCACTTTGGCTCGGGTCATGATCTCAGGGTCCTGGAATGGGGCTTCGTGCTCAGGGGAGAATCTGCTTGCCCTCTGCACGCCCCTGCTTGTGCTTGCTTTCCCTCTCTCTCTTTCTCTCTCTCTCAAATAAATAAATAAAATCTTTTTTTAAAAAATGCTGTTACTACCACAAAAAGTGGTAAGACCCTAACCTCAGGGATTCATGTTAGAACCTGGCTAAGCCTCTAATGAAACTATTGAAGAGAAGTTAGGTCTTCACAGTTCTCAACTTCTAAGAGTCTTCTAAACAAAATTAGGCCTTTTGTTTCACTTTCGCATCCTCCTGGAGTCAGTTCAGTGTTCTAGTAATCAACTGGGTTTTGAATTCTGATGTCTATTACTTATCAAATACCAGCTTTGAGTTGCTTGCAAATTAGCAAGCATGCCTTCTATATCTTCATTTACTTCTTTCATCCATTTTGGAGCCCAGAGATCATCAGAGTCATCTCAACCTATTCTCTTTGGTACTCACTCTATATCCAGTCCCCCCGAAAAGGAAATTAAAGTCATCAAAGAGTACAAAAAGCTGAGGGGCTAAGTGAAGAAAAGAACTAGGTAACATGCAAAAGTTAGTAATAGTGTGGCCAGAGAAAAACCAAAGTATGGCTCGGAGGATGGAGTAGTTCAGGCCTGTTTTAAAATATGATGCAGCAGTGCCTGGGTGGCTCAGTCGGTTAGGTGTCTGACTCTTGATTTCGGCTCAGGTGGGGATCTCAGGGTCATGAGATAGAGCCCCCAAATCAGGCTCTGCACTCAGCAGGGAGTCTGCTTGAGATTCTCTCTCTCTCTCTGCCCCTCCCTGCCCATGTGTGTACTTGCTGTCTCTCAAATAAATAGATCTTTTATTTTTTTTAAGATTTTATTTATTTATTTGACAGAGAGAGACACAGTGAGAGAGGGAACACAAGCAGGGGGAGTGGGAGAGGGCGAATCAGGCTTCCCTCTGAGCAGGGCCCCGATGCGGGGCTCGATCCCAGGACCCTGAGATTATGACCTGAGCTGAAGACAGACTCTTAACGACTGAGCCACCCAGGCACCTTTCAAATAAATAAATCTTAAAATATATATATATATATGATGAAAAGCTTCAGCATAGCACTGAACTTTCCAAAGTGCAGTCAATGGGGCGCCTGGGTGGCTCAGTTGTGAAGTGTCTGCCTTCGGCTCAGGTCATGATCCCAGGGTCCTAGGATCAAGCCCCATATCAGGCTCCCTGCTCAGCAGGAGGCCTGCTTCTCCCTCTCCAACTCCCCCTGCTTGTGTTCCCTCTCTCTCTGTCTCTCTCTCTCTCTCTCTGTCAAATAAATAAATAAATAAATCTTTGAAAATAAATAAATAAATAAATAAAAGGGGCGCCTGGGTGGCTCAGTAGGTTAAGCGTCTGCCCTCAGCTCAGGTCATGATCCCAGGGTCCTGGGGCCGAGCCCCCCATCGGGCTCCCTGCTCAGTGGGGAGCCTGCTTCTCCCTCTCCCACTCCCCCTGCTTGTGTTCCCTCTCTAGCTGTCTCTCTCTCTGACAAATAAATAAAAATGAAGTCTTTAAAAAAAAAAAAAGTCTTCTAACTTCGATATACGGAATAATGAAGACTCCCTGATCTGAAGCATAAACTTGTCCAAATAGCTAGGCAAAAGCTGATATTAAGCCATATTCTGTAACTTTCTAAACTGCTAATAGTGTTAGAAATCCTAATAGAACTAATTTCTGGGTGCCTGGGTGACTCAGGCGGTTGGGCATCTGCCTTCAGCTTGGGTCGTGGTTCCAGGGTCCTGGGATCAATTCCCACATCAGTGGAGAGCCTGCTTCTCCCTCTGCCTGCCGCTCCCCCTGCTTGTGCTCTCTCTCTGACAAATAAGTAAATAAAATCTTTTAAAAAAAAAAAAAAAGAACTAATTTCTAACTGCCTCCACTGTAGCCCAAGCATTGTTTTGCAAGTCTTTTGCTTAAAACTTGGGATGCATTTTCCTGCAGAGGTAAATTAGATATAAGGTTAGGTCCTAATGACTAAAAAAGCCCACTGTTGGGCTTTTTTTCCCTGTTGTATAAACACTATACACTTGTACTTGAAATTCACTCTGTACTTGAAATATAATACAGATGACATTATCAAACCTAACCATCATTTATAGGAGGTTTGTAATGTGCTTAACGTCCCATCTGGGACTCCAGTCTCCCATCTGCGATGCTGGAAAACAAGAGACTGCCTGGGATAAGGTCTCCTGTAGGGCAAGGGCAGGTGGTATGATTGAGTGGGATGGGAGAACAGACTAAGCGTTCCAGAGAGTTGGGGTCTCCCTGAGTTCTATTCTGGACTTACTTATATACCCCAGGCAACTCTCTAGCTACTCTCTTTATATATACTCTGTCTAGTAAAGGCATCCCAGGAGAAACAACAATTTCTCATATGTAATTTTTCTTTGCTTAAGAAAGATGGCTTCCATGTGGCTGTTCTGGCTCAGTAACTTGCAGTGTTGGCCAGCTGATTCTTACCTGTACTTCAGCTTGCCGTTCTCTTTTGACATTAAGCAGCTTCTTTTGAAGAGATCTTATCTGTTTTTTCCCTTTTTCCTCCCTAGAAGAAATAAGAATGATTTATTTAGAGGGGTGCTTCTCAAACTCTAGCGTGCCCAAGGCTCACCCCCAGTGTTCAAAAACAGATCCCTGGGCTCTACCCAGGAGATTCTGGTTCAGTACGTCTGGGATGGGGCCCTGGAATTCACAGCTCTAACGAGTTCTCGGATGTTGCTCATGGTGCTGGTCCATGGAACACTTTCAGTCACGCTTTATAGAACACTGCGATGTGTTTCAGTAAACCAGAAAAGGAGGTTTTGGCTTATGTGTTGTATCTAAAATAGCTGCTGCTGAGAAAAAGCTAAGAGGAGGAGGAGGAACATTAAGAGGAAAAGGAAGAGCAGGGCAGTCTCTTCCACCTAACCCTCTCCTTCGCTTCGGGTCAGTTCAGCATTGAGTCCGAAGGCTCCTGCCACATTTTCTCTCACCCAGGTGTTTCCCCTGATAAAAGTCTTTGCATGAATAATCTCATCTTGGCAACTCTCAGAAGACATGACTTAACACACTTGCCATGGGCATACAAACAGTAAACGGCAAAGCAGGATTCAAATTCAGTACCATCTGAATTAGAACGTAACGTTAGGTTTCTGTTTGTACTCAGAAACAGAATTCTGCTTATCTCTAGTAATGCCATTGTCTAAGTCTGAAGAAAAAAAAATAACAAAACGATATAATAAATAAAACAATGTAAGAATAAACAAAACAAAATAAAAACTGTCTTAGCTCAGGCCACCATTATAAAATATGTCAGATTGGGTGGCTTATAAATAACATCATTTCTCACGGTTTGGAGACTGTGAAGTCCAAGATCTAGCCGCCATCAGATTCAGTGTCTGATGAGAAACTGTTTCCTGGTTCACAGATGGTCATTTTCACTTGCATCTTTATATGATGGAAGGGAAGAAGAAGCTCTCCGGGGTGTCTTTTATATGGGCATTAATCTCATTCATGAGGCCTCCACCGTCATGACCTAATCACTTCCCAAAGGTCCCACCTTCTAATATCATCACATTGAGGGTTAGGATTTCAACAAATAAATTGGGGGCAGGGGTGGGGTATGCAAACTTTCAGTCTATAGCCACAACCAAAACACCTTCCCACTAAATGGCATCTAGATAAGCATTGCTATTCAGAAATGTTTAGAAAGCATGTACTTAACTAGAATCTTGAGATTGAGATTGTCATTGCCGAACTATAGATTAAGTAATTCCCATTTATAGACTATAAGAAACAGAGAAGAAAGATGCAAAATATTTATCTCTAAATAATAAGTTCAGAACCCTAGTGTAGATTCAGTTAAATAAATAAGTGTTATTTATGATGGAAACTAGAAATTAGTGGAGTATTGCCTTCAAAATTGTGAAAGATGATTTTCAATCTAAAAATCTGTACGTAGTCAAATTACTAATAAAGCATGAGACAAAAAAAGATTTTCAGACATGTAAGATCTTAATATATGTAATTTCCATGCACCCTTTGTTCATGCTCCAACAAAATGGGCGATTTACATAAAAAAGAGGAAGAATGGGGGTCTAGAAAACAGGATCAAAAGGAAATCTCAGGAGATGAAGGGAAGGCCCAGAACCATAGTAATGCTGCAGGCCCTAGGAGCAACAGCAACAAATAGGAGAAAAAGAACAGAAGAAATTTTCAAAAGGAAAAAAGAAAGAGAAGGAAGGAAGGAAGGAAGGAAGGAAAGAAGGAAGGAAAGACTTAATATGTATGACTACACTTAATATGTATGACTACACTTCCAGGGCTCTGGTGAAGAGTTGGGTGCTGGATTTGGAACAGAAATGTCAAAACAGGCAAATAAAAAAGTGGCAAGATTTAACTCTAGGAAAAAAAAAAAAGCTGTTCAAGAAAGAAAATGTAATCATTATATATACTATATGTCCCATCTGTGAACTATTTACACGTAATAATCATCCTCATAATACTAAGTATTCATTTAACCAAAAATGATGCTCTAACTATTTTAGGGGCATGGAAAAAACCCAATAGATTACATCTAAAACTATATTCCCACTAGTGCTGTTTGCCATAAAGAAGAAAACTGGTCAGTGTGAGAAATGAAAAATGGTATACTATTGATTTGAAGGTAAACATTTCTTATATGTTTATTGGCCCACTATATGTCCCCTTCAGTGAACTGTCTTTTCTTATCATTTTTGGATATGCCAAATCAAAGGATGTCTCATCTCTCTGGATCAGACTACATTTTGATTCATCATCACAATGAAAGGAAATTTCAGCACACTAAGAGATAAAGACCAGTCAGCCCACTTTTTACTCTCTAGCAAAAGCAATGCCCAATTAAAACAGCAATGAGGCCACTATACACTGAACAGAATGGCAGAAATCCAAAAGATTGACACCACCAAATGCTGCCAAGGATGTGGAGCAACAGGAACTCTCATTCATTGTTGGTGAGAATGCAGAAGTCAGTTTGGCAGCTTCTTACAAAACTAAACATACTCTTACCATAACAACCTAGCAATTATGCTCCTTGGTATTTCCTCAAATGAGTTAAAAATCTATGTCCACACCAAAACCTATACATAAAGGGGTGCCTGCATGGCACAGCACAGGCAGTTAAAGCATCTGACTCTTGGTTTTGGCTCGTCTGATTGCAGGGTCATGAGATTGAGCCACGCATCATGCTCCAAACTCAGTGTGGAGTCTGCTTGAGTTTCTCTCTCTCTCTCCCTCTGCCCCACTCCTCCCGGCTTTCTCTCTCTCTCTAATAAATAAATATTAAAAAAAAAAAACCCTGTACATAGATATTTAAAGTAGTTTTATTCAATAATTGCCAAAACTTGGAAGCAACCAAGTTGTCCTTCAGTATGTGAATAGATAAACTGTGGTATATCCAGACAATGAAATATTACTCTGTGCTAACAAAGAAATGAGCTGTCAAGCATGAAAAGACATGGAAGAACCTTAAACACATAATACTAAGTGAAAGAAGCCAATCTGGAAAAGCTATGTACTGTATGATTCCAAATGCATGACATTCTGAAGAAGGCAAAACCATGAAGACAGTAAAAAAAAATCAGTGGTTGCTAGGGACTCAGGGGGAGGGCAGGAGGGATGAATAGGTAGAACACAGAGAAATTTTAGGGCAGTGAAACTATTTTGCATAAAACTGGAATGGTGGATGCATGTCACGACACATTTGTCAAAACGCATAAAATGTATAACACAAAGAGTGATCCCCTATGGACGTTAGTTAATAATAATGTATCAATATTGGCTCATAGATGACAACAAACGTATTGCATTAATATAAGATGTTAATTATAAGGGGTATATATAGGGACTCTACTTTCTGCTCAATTTTTCTATAAATCTAAAACTGAAGTCTATTAAAAAAAGCAATGCCCAAACAATACTCACATAGTATTTAAGTTATGTACACCTTTCTACCACAAATGGGAATAGTGCTGGTGTGGTTTGCACGTTATTAGTGACCTATATTCTACAGCTGAGTTCCAATAAGAAGTATCCAGGTTATAGCTTCAGCAAGTGGAGGGGCTATTCTGGCACCTTTGTTTGCCTTTCTAGAGTAGAGACTAAGTGACCATGATGAAAGTGATACCTCATACATCTTGACCTTCTGACCAAAATCTCAAAAGGCCTTAAAACCTAGCAAGATCTCTCCTTTCTTTTGCTTTGAAAAACAACATAGTCTGCCTGCCCTGAATAATATTGAAGTGGGATACATATTAAAAAATAAGTGAGGGGGGCACCTGGGTGGCTCAGTCGTTGGGCGTCTGCCTTCGGCTCAGGTCATGATCCCAGGGTCCTGGGATTGAGCCCTGCATCGGGCTCTCTGCTCAATGGGAGGCCTGCTTCTCCCTCTCCCACTCCCCCTGCTTGTGTTCCCTCTCTCGCTGTCTCTCTCTCTGTCAAATAAATAAATATAAAATCTTAAAAAAAATAAGTGAGGGCTGGCTGGCTGGCTCAGTCAGAAGAGCATGCCACCCCTGATCTCCAGGTTGTGAGTTTGAGCCCCATGTTGGGTGTAGAGATTACTTAAAAAAGAAAAAAAAAGGTAAGAATGATTCTTAACCAAACGGGGTTTAAGCAGAGGATTTTTACATGTTATGAATTCTTACTCAGGGGCAGATATGCACACATCTCACAGGTAGAATGCATACTTTAAACATGTCTTTCACATCCTCTGCTCCTGGAAGAAGGAAAAATCATTTTATGGCAGGCCCTATGTGTGGGGCTTTCCCCAAGACTCACTCATTACACTTATTTTTTCATTACATTTTTCTATTTATGTACTGGTATTTTTCTTATTATTTTGTAAGACTTTATTATTAGTGAAGATCAGTACCACTAAAAGAAGCTTCATTTAAAACTAAATAGAGGAGCTGAGAAGAGATCGATGGAGAGTGAATACTAATGAGTACAGGCTTTCTTTTTTGGAATGATGAGAATGTTCTGGAATTAGAGAGTAGTGATGATTACACAACTGTGAATATACCAAAACCCACCAAATTGTATACTTTAAAAGGATGAATGTTATGGTATCAACAAAACTCTCTCCTTGACCAAACTAATCAGGCTCCTCTGAGCCTTCTTCTCTACTAGGCATGACCTTGGCCCCAGTACTCGCCTTCAGCCTGCATAGCCCAGTTTAGCAAGATTTCTGCTAAGACAGTTTAGAGAGAATCCTCCACCCTTGACATCTGATCACCCTGGATATCTGATCAAATTCCTCATCCCCCATCCTTGATGTCTAAGCCTTTGGTCTGCTTTCAGCAAAAATCCTGTTAGTTTACCAAGAATCCCCTATTCTTTATGTACTTAGTAATTTTCCATCCACTGACCCCCTCACTGTTCTCACTGGCTAGAAATCCTCAGCTGCCTTTATTGTATTCAGAGTTGAGCCTAATCTCTCTCCCTATTACAGCAGACCTCAATAAAGCCTTCCTCACCATTTTAACATGTCTGAATAATTTCTTTAACAGTACACAAAGTTTATTTCATAAAGCTCTTATTCAAGGAACTAAATAGAAAATCTTATCTATCTTATATCTAAGATAAGATTTTAAAAGTGCCAATCATACAATAGTTAAAATACTAAAAATTTGTTACTGATTTGCCCAAATCTAGATACAATTCTCCAACTTAAATAAATCTAAATTGATGCCTATCTAATTGGAAGAAAAATTAAAAGGAGAAATTATCATACACAATCACATATGTAAAATCAATCACTGGCAAACTGTCTACATTATTATTTTCTCCCTTCCAAATAGTGGTACATATATTTCTTTTTTATTTTTCTTACTTGATTAGCTTTTTTTGAAATTACTAAGCAACAAAATGTGCTCACAATGCTAAGTCTATAATAGTAACTATTATTATTATTATTAGACACTATGTGCAGGAACTACCCTAAATGCTTTACATGTATTAATTGATCTAACCGTCAACATATCCTTAGTACAGAATTTATTACCAATTCTAAGGTGCAAAGGAAGAGAAAATAACTCAAGTAAAAACAATTCCTGTGCAAATAGGATAAACACTCTCATTTGAGTATTCAGGGTTCATATAAAAAGAATTTTATTGTGGTCCCCAAATCATTTGATTGTGTTCAATTTCTTAGAGTATGAAAATCTTTGGGATTAGTTGAAAGGCTCTGGAAAAGAAAACTTTCCTTGGCATGCTTTTTATTATCACCTGCTATTGTTCAGGGATATTCAGTGAATTCAGTTTTAAGAAAGATTACCGTAAAGGTATTCAAATTGGTAAGGAAGAAGTAAAACTTTCACTATTTGACTATTTGCAGATGACATGATACTATATATATTTATTTATATATAATAAGATATATATATCTCAAACCCAAAAGATTCCACCAAAAAACTGCTATACCTGCTAAACAAACTTAGTGAAGTCACAGAATACAAAATCCATGTACAGAAATCTGTTGCATTTCTATACACCAATAATGAAGTAACAGAAACAGACATTAAGAAAACAATCCCATTTACAATTGCACCAAAAATAATAAGATACCTAGGAATAAACCTAACAAAAGAGATGAAAGTCCTGTATTCTGAAAACTACAAAAAACTGATGAAAGAAATTGAAGACAATACCAAGAAATGGAAAGACATTCCATGCTCATGGATTGGAAGGAAAAATCTTGTAAAAATGTCTATACTACCCAAAGCAATCTACATACTTAATGCAATCCCTATCAAAATACCAACAGCATTTTTCACAGAACTAGAACAAACAATCCTAAAATTTGTATGGAATCACAAAAGACCCCAAATAGACAGAGAAATCTTGAAAAAGAACAGCAAAGCTGGAATCATCACAATTCTGGACTTCAAGTTATATTACAAAGCTGTAGTAATCAAAATAGGATGGTACTGGCACAAAAACAGACACATAGATCAATGGAACAGAAGAGAAAATTCAGAAATAAACCCACAATTATATGGTCAATCACTCTTCGACAAAGCATGAAAGAATATCCAATGGGAAAAAGACAGTTTTCTTTAACAAATGTTGGGAAAACTGGACAGCAACATGCAAAAGGAAGAAACTGGACTACTTTCTTATACCATCTACAAAAATAAATTCAAAATGGATTAAAGACTTAAATGTAAGACCTGAAACCATAAAAATCCTAGAAGAAAGCACAGGCAGTAACTTCTCTGACATTGGCTGTGGCAACTTTTTCTAGATAGGTCTCCTGAGGCAAGGGAAACAAAACCAAAAGTAAACTATTGGGACTGCATTAAAAAAACACAACAACAACAAAAAGAAAACCTTCAGAGTGATGGAAACAATCAAGAAAACTAAAAGGCAATCTATAGAATAGGAGAAGATATTTGCAAATGACATATCTGATAAAAGGTTAGTAGCCAAAATAAAGAACTTCTAAAACTCAACACCAAAAAAATAATCCAGTTAAAAAATGGGCAGAAGATGGGCGCCTCGGTGGCTCAGTTAGTTAAGCGACTGCCTTCGGCTCAGGTCATGATCCTGGAGTCCCAGGATCGAATCCCACATCGGGCTCCCTGCTCAGCAGGGAGTCTGCCTCTCCCTCTGACCTTCTTCACTCTCGTGCTCTCTCTCATTCTCTCTCTCTCAAATAAATAAATAAAATCTTTAAAAAAAAAAAATGGGCAGAAGACATGAACAGGCATTTCTCCAAAGGCATACAGATGGCCAAAAAATATATGAAAAGATGTTCATCAAAACTTACCATCAGTGAAATACAAATCAAAACTACAATGAGGTATCACTTCACAGCTGTCAGAATGGCTAAAATCAACAACACAAGAAACAACAGATGTTGGTTGAGGATGTGGAGAAAAAAAGGAACCATTTGCACTCTCGATGGGAATGCAAACTGATGCAGCCACTGTAGAACACAGTATCGAGTTTCCTCAAAAAGTTAAAAATAGAACTACCTTATGATCCAGTAATTGTGCTACTAGGTTTTACCCAAAGAACATAAAAATACTAATTCAGAGGGATATATGCACCTCTATGTTTACAGCAGCATTATTTACAATAGCCAAGATATGGAAGCAGCCCAAGTGTCCATCAATTGAAGAATTGATATCGAAATGTGGAATATACACAATGGACTATTATTCGGCCATAAAAAAGAACGAAATCTTGCCATTTGTAACAACATGGATGGAGCCAGAGAGTATAATGCTAAGCAAAGTCAGTCAGAGAAAGACAAATACCATATGATTTCATTCATATGTGGAATTTAATAAAACAAGCAAGCAAAGAAAAAAAAAGAGACAAACCAAGACACAGACTCAACTATAGAGAACAAACTGATGGTTACCGGGGCAGGGGGGGTTATGGTTAAATAGATGATGGGGATTAAGGAGTGCAACTGTCATGAGGAGCGCCGGGTACTGTATAGAAGTGCTGAATCACTGTATTGTATACCTGAAACTAATATTACACTGTATGTTAACTAACTGGAATTAACATTTAAAAAAAAAAAGAAAGATTACTGTACAATAGGAAGAATATTCTTGACATACTGTAGATACACATAACTGAAGCCCAGAAATCTGAATTATTGTCCCAGTAGAGCTAAGATTAGCACTTACATTTCTGAGTTCTATTTATGTTCCCTGGAAAGCACAAATTTGATCTGCCTTAGAAATCAAGAACTTCTGGTAAAAGTTTTATGGCACTTTTAAAATACAATACAGCAGGGGCGCCTGGGTCTGCCTTCAGCTCAGGTCATGATCCCGGAGTCCAGGGAGTGAACCCCATGTTGGGCTCCCCGCTCAACGAGGAGTCTGCTTCTCCCTCTGCCCCATCCCCCACTTGTGTGTGCTCTCTCTCTTGCTCACTTGCTCTCTCACTCTCTCTCAACCTCTTGCTCACTCTCCCTCTCAAATAATAAATAAAAATCTTTAAAAAAAAATACAACACAGCAAATAAATCTAATATTACTCGGACCTGGCAATGATATCATAAAAATGCATTTTGTTTTCCCTCTCTTTGCCCAGGGCTTTCAGGAGACTGGTGAAAGTGCCTGACTCTTCCAACTCCTGCATGGTATCTGTAATTATATCACTGAAAAGTTGCCTGTAAGGAGACACAAAAAGGATGAGTTAATAAGGTATATTTTCTTACATTTACAAGGGCTACAAAAGTCACACAGGTTAAGACCCAGGATGAAAATCATAACTAAAATGGAATTACTCCTGGAATGCAAGAATAGTTTAGCATTAGAAAGTCTATTAATAGTATTCAACACATAAACAAAAGGAAAGGAGAAAAACCATATGGCCATCACAACAGATGCAGAAAAGACATTTGGCAAAATTTAATATCCACTCATTTGAAAATGAACAACAAAAACCCTTAGCAAACTAGAAATAAAAGAGAACTTCCTTAACCTGACAAAGTTTACATACCAAGGACTAACAAACATTGAATGTGCAGTAGGATATTACATATATAATATTTTAAAACATATAAAATTGTATTGTTTAAATAAAACACATATATGACTAATAAAAGTATCACAAGAGAATGTAAGAGAATAATAAACACCAAATTCAGAAGAGAGTTTGTCTTTGGGGTAACAGTGAGGGGCTAGCATCAGAGGCTCCAATTGTACCTTAAGTATTTTATTAAAAAAAAAAAACACCTCTAAAGTAATCATGGTAAAATGTTAAGATATGGTGGTTACACACTTAAGTACTCATTATTTCATTCTTTGTATTTGTCTGCATTTTAAAAATATTTCATAATTTTGCAAAAGTTAAATCATCCAAAAATTTTTTTAAAGAGCTAATAGGGGAACCTGGGTGGCTTAGTCGGTTAAGTATCTGCCTATGGCTCAGGTCATGATCTCAGGGTCGTGGGATCAAGCCCTGCGTCGGGCTCCCTGCTCAGCGGGGAGTCTGCTTCTCCCTCTGCCCCTCCCCTCTACCTACCTCTCTCATAAATAAATAAAATCTAAAAAAAAAAAGAGCTAATAAAACACTCACATTTTAGAGATGAGTAAACTCAGGCTCAGGAAGGTTAAATGACTTGCCCAAGGTCACATAAGTAATTTGAGAAAAAGGTAGAACTATATAATCCAGGTTTCCTGACTCGTAGTCTGTTGCTTTTTATTTTATTTTTTAAAGATTTTTATTTATTTATTTGAGAGAGAGAGCAAGAGAGCACAAGCAGGGGGAGTGGCAGAGGGAGAGGGAGAAGCAGGCTCCCCGCTGAGCAGGGAGCCTAACTCAGGGCCCAATCCCAGGACCCTGGGATCATGACCTGAGCCAAAGGCAGATGCTTAACCGACTGAGCCACCCAGGTCCCCATCCATTACTTTTTATAATATTCTTATAGGTACAGATTTTAAATGCTGCTATTTAATGTTTTCATAATAATTTTTGACAATAGTTCAAACAGAAAGATTCAGTAACTATATTAAGAAAAAAGAAGTACATCGAAGTAAAAAAAAACAATTGAAAAGATACGAGCCATCCCACAGAGAATGAAAAGGACATTAACTAGATTGCTGTTTATAAGCAGGACACCTTTCTGTCATGTATGCAAATCTGAGCCAGATTGATTTCACAAGAAACATTATCCCTCTGATGCAGGGGTTGGCAAACTTTTCCTATAAAGAGAGAAATGGTAAATATTTTTGGCTTTGCAGGCCATAAATTCTCTGTTGCAACTACTCAGCTTTGCTACTCATGAAAGCAGCAAGAAACAATATGTAAACAAATGGGCAATGCTGTATTCTAATAAAATTTATTTTCAAAAACAGACTATGGGCTGGATATGGCTAGTGGCCCTGGGTAATTGCTATAAACATTCATTTACCAACAATTCTTACCATAATATTACGTCCTCTTTTAAACTTAACAGGCTTCCTTGTCAGCAAGCCTGACAAAAAACTGAATTATGAGACAATGGAAACCGAGACTGCCTTTCAGAAATTCTCAGGATTAAAACTCAGCTTAAAAGTTGGCTACTTGGATGGTGTCTCTTACTCATAGGTAAAGCATCACAACAGCTACCAATTTGTGCCAGGCACTTGGCTGCAGCCTTATTTCTAATCCTCACACTGATATTGCAAAGTTGCTATAATTATTTTCACTTTTAAAAACTGGACACAAAGGCTCAACAACTTGCCCATGATCATAGAGCCACCATACTTTCAATTGTACTACACTCCCTCTAAGCAGTCTTTAGCTAATCCTATTATCAGCAGTACCTTTGCATCTAATGACCAGTCCCTAAGAGAAGACAGCAGTCAGCCACCCTTGCCCCCATTTTACTATTACATTTCCAAATATGCTCTCCTTCTTTACCTATCAGTCTGAATTTTCTTCATTATCTCCGTGGACATTATGGTCTGTCTTGTAGGTTTTTTGAAGACAAGATCTTGCATTTTGTTAAACTCATTGGTAAATTGGCTTCCTTTTTGGATTCCTGGCAACTTGGTTTCTTCTTTAGGTAAGAATGGACTGGATATTTTTGAGGTTCTTGAGGCCTCTGAAAGTTTTTCTAAGCTCTTGTTTTTCTTCTAAAAACAAGAAATGATGTTTTATGTAAGACAGATTTTTTTTTAAAGGAATTTTTTTTTTAAGATTTTATTTTTTATTTATTTGATTTTAAGACTAAAGAAACAATGCTATACCAGGGCTTCTGCCTACATTTTTCAACCTTACCTTCTGCCACTTGTACTCAACACACAAGAAAATTACCCTTTTTTTCAGCCCCCAAATCACATCCTGCTATTTTGTGCCTTCCTGCCTTTAGACAACATTCCTTTTGCCTGTCTTTCCTCAACTTACCACCTGGTAAACTTCAAGACTAAGATCAAAGGTAAAGTTCCTTATGAAATATCTCTATTAGCAGATATTTACCATGTTGTAATTATTTTTATAAATGTCTCCAAGATTGTAAATTCTATGAGGGAAGGGGCACTGTCTTAGAGATTTGGTTCACCTCAAATTCTTTTTGGAACAAGACTGCATAATAAATGCAGCCATTTTTATAGTCTCATTGCTTAGAATATGCCTAGGGTATAGAAAACTGAAATGTTCATTGAACACATGAATATGAAATATAAAGAAATGAAATATAAAGAATGAAAGGAATATCCTAGTAAGTTGGTAAAATTAGTGGTGTGGTATAGATTTCGAAGGTCATGTGGGAAAAAGCCAAAATAATTCATTTTTCAGACCCAAACTTGAACACTGAGGGGTAGGCATCAACCTAAGGAACAGCGTATGTCTTTTAATCGATGATTCCTATTTAATCTGTTGCTAAAAGCTTTGGCTATTGAGAGGCCATATAACATAGTGATTATGCCTATGGACTCTGAAACCAAACTTCCTTGTTTGAATCCTTGCTTTATTTCTTACTAAACCATACTGACTTAGACAACTGCTTAATATCTCTATGCCTCCATTTTCTCATTGGTAAAACAGGGATAATAGTACCTGCCCTCACAGTTACTATGAGGATTAAATAAATTAATACACATAATGTATTTAGAACAGCACACAGAATTATTTAAGTTCTGTACTTGTTATGATTACTTAAATTCTTGTGCAGATCCTATGCACAGAAGAAAGGTTTATCTGCATATTGATACATAAAGCCTAGGTCTTCTTCCTTAGCTAAACTTCAACTAGCCCAGAAATGTTAAAAAACGATCCATGAACGGTTAATAAATGCAGATTCAACTGCATTTTTCTTTACATCAACAATAAGCAAAGATTCAGATCTGAGGAAAACATCTGTAGGCAAGAACAAAACAAAATGCTGCCTTAATTAAGAATTAAATTTTAAAATATTTCTTTAAATTAAAATTAATTTGACTGGCTACAAAGAGAAGAGAAAAGTAGCATTTCAACAGTTAAACTGAAACTTACCTGGACGTAAGGAAAACCTTAAGGATGGTTATTATTTTAGATTTTGCCACTGTAGGAAAGGGGAAAGTGTAAGGCCTAGGAAGCTCTTTCTATTTCCCTATTTTTCCTCTACCTTTATGCTTGGGCATCTGGAAAAGGAGGCAACTGTGTCAAGCAGCCTGATTTACTGATTACTACAAATAAATATGAATTTTTTAAAGAGAGAACTTAAAGGAACTAGCTAAATGTTTTAGTACACTCACAAAAAAATATTTTTATATAGCATATACTATGTACGAGGTGGGGTATTAGACCCTAAGGGAAAAGGTAAGAGAAACAGTATCCCTGCAGGGGAGCTCTTCCCAAATTTTGGTCCAATTACTCCCACTTCTGGTAGAATCTGGTACATTAGTATTTTTTTTTTTTTATCATTCTATTCCATGATTTTACCATTGAAAATCTATTTGGAGATGTCCTTAGCTATAAAAATAGCTATAAAGGAGGAATAATGCTAACTAACCTTTCATCCCAAGGTTGTTCTAAGGCTAAATAATATGAATGAAGCTTTTGGAGAAAGAAAACATCCACATACATACTAAGGATTTAAAATATATATCCTATGCCCTTATAGAGCAATGGCATTGTAAAATTTGTAAGTTAGAACAACTAGTATTATGAAGTAAAAAAACAATTATTTTAAAAGACTCACAATTTTATAAGGTTGTGGAACTAACTCATATTGAGGAAAGGGCTGTTAAGCTTCTATTAATCAAGATAAGAGTGGACGGGGTAAAAAAAAAAAGATAAGAGTGTAAGCCTTTATTATATACACTACAATGAAATCATAAGCAGGGCCTCCGTTAAGTCGGAAAATTTTGTGGGTGAAGATCACTATCATAAACCAGAATAAAATAGTGCAAAAGTTTTGTTCTTTAATTTACTGAAGTGGTGACCACAGCTGAATTGTTTATAAATTTGGGTTTTCCATCCTCTCTTGAGCTTTTACGAAGGCAAATTACCCTTTTTAGCCTGACACAGTATCACTGATAAGTATCATAAGACTTTATCTTGTTAAGTATCTTTTTATTTTTGATTCCTACTGCGGGAGATAATAAATAGGAAGGAAACACTAGACTCTTCTTTACTATTTGTTAACTAGATTAATGTATGAATTAGACTCTTATTTTAAATGCATTGAAAGGCTTAGTTTTTGGATTTCTAATCTCTTTACCATTCATAAATTGATAAAAAAATTAATTTGTTACAAAATTCTTGATATACCCATTAATGTCGTTTTAAAACTACCCCAAAACTCATAGAATGTTAGCACTGGAAGGGATGATATGGATCATTTAGCTAAAACTCCATTACACTTTAGGAGCCCCTGGTTTGCTCAGTCAGTGGAGCATGCGACTCTTGATCTTGGGGTTGTGAGTTCGAGTCCCACATTGGGTGTGGAGGTTACTTAAAAATCTTAAAAAAAAAAACCCACAAAAAGCCCCATCACATTTTACAAATAAGAACATAAAGACCAAGAAAGTGAAATGAACTGCTCATAGTACACAACTAAACCGCAAAGATCTCCTGACTCCAAATCCAGTGTTCTATTAAAATTTTAACTTTTTAAACTTTAATAAAAGCTTTACAAACCCAGACTATATATATAACAATAATAATAATAACAATAATTTAAAAATGGTAAGGTGCAATGAAAGGGAAATTTAATTATCTAGTTACAATAAATATGAACTTTTCTGTTAGATGTGGAAAGTAATTTACTGTTGTTTATATAGCAATTTTCATTTGTTAGAGAATCAGAAATAATGTATGCTGTACAAACTATATAATGTAATTTTGCTGAACGTAATAAATGTGTATTTGTACTTATAAGTTCTTTCCTGGAGCACTGGGTGGCTCAGCCAATTAAGCATCTGATTCTTGATTTCGGCTCGGTCATGATCTCAGGGTTGTGAGATCAAGTCCCATGTCCAGCTCTGTGCTGGGAATGGAGCCTGCTTGGGATTCTCCCTCTCCCTCTCCTGCCCCTCACCCCCTACCCCTGCTTGCTCTCATGCTCTCTCTCTCTAAAAAAAAAAAATAAATAAGTTCTTTTCATTTTATATCTATAACCTATTATTACAAGAGCTTGGGGGGGGGGCACCTGGGTGGCTCAGTTGGTTAAGCGACTGCCTTCGGCTCAGGTCATGATCCTGGAGTCCCAGGATCGAGTCCCGCATCGGGCTCCCTGCTCAGTGGGGAGTCTGCTTCTCCCTCTGACCCTCTTCCCTCTCGTGCTCTCTTTCTCATTCTCTCTCTCTCAAATAAATAAATAAAATCTTAAAAAAAAAACAAAAAAACAAGAGCTTGGGGTGCCTGGGTGGTTCAGTCAGTTGAGGGACCTCTGCCCCTCCCACAGGCTCACATGCTCTCTCTCTCAAATAAATACATAAATCTTAAAAAAAAAATTTAAAAGACCCTAAGAATTTATAAAGATTTTGCTCACTACCAAGTTGAGTTTTTTTTGAAAACTCAAATAGCATTTTGAGGAGGAGTCCATAACATCACTGAAAATGTAATGGCTGATGTAATGACCTGGCTGGATATTCACAAAAGCAGGTTGCAACATATTCAACAATATAACAAGTATTTTTAGAATAAAGAAACATTGAGAAGGTCCAACTGAATTTCTTCCCCAGAGGGTTCAGTTAGCTTCCAGCAGCTGAGAAATATAAGACAGGTGGAGCAATTCAGTAAAGTGGCTACTCTCAGTACATATACTGATTTACTAGAGGCCTTTTTGAATATTGCCAACATACTGGAAGAAAAGGATATTCCGACTGGCAATCTATCTTGAGCTATAGTTATTTCCCTCCATCAATTCAGAGTACATATCTCAGGTAATTATTATAGCCCTCTTTGTCTGAGATAAAAGTGCTATTTCCCATGTTAAATTTGATAGCATAAGTACTCTAAGGGATAGAGAAATAAAAAGGAAAGAAAGCAAAAATTACATAATGGTGAGTGTATATACCATGCTGACACTTTGTCTTCTTCCATATTGAACTGGCATGATATAGTTTAGAATAGAGAGCTGGTCCGTGGTATCTTCCAGAACTGTGGAGATCCTCAGCACATCTAGAATGGAGAGTGGCTCTATGACTTCCGGGATGACTTCCCTGTCTGTTTCTTCAGCTGTTTCTTTTTCTTCTTCTACAGCACTGGGTGGCTCGCCTATCACTGACACTGTCACCTCAGAATGCCAGACTTTTGATGGAAGATTTGAGGCTTCTGGTTGGCTTCTAAAAAAATAAATAAATAAAGAGAAAAAAATAAGTCAGCCACCAAATGTTTAAAAACTGCTTCAACTCAAAAGCATAGGCAGCATATAGATTGGCCCCTGTGAAGTCCATATTGTCATATAACCAAGATAAAGAATAAAAGTAGGAGTTTACACATGGTTCTGCTAAATATCTCCCTGTGACATCCTGAACAACCAAAGGCAAGCCACTTACTGTTTAATAACTCTATGTAACCCATTCTATGGGTTAACCAATTCGAATTTCAGCCCAAATTAACTTTTTGTCTAGCAACATCTTTAAATGCTAATCAAAAGTGTCTCGTGATTTATGAAAAACAGAATGTGGCAGGAGTGCCTGGCTGGCTCATTCGGTGGAGCATGTGATCTTGGGGTTGTGAGTTCAAACCCCACGTTGGCACAGTTTACTTAAAAAAATAAATACATTAAAAACAAAAACAGGGGCGCCTGGGTGGCTCAGTCGTTAAGCATCTGCCTTCGGCTCAGGTCATGATCCCAGGGTCCTGGGATCAAGCCCCGCATCGGGCTCCCTGCTCAGCGGGAAGCCTGCTTCTCTCTCTTCCCTCCCCTTGCTTGTGTTCCCTCTCTCGCTGTCTCTCTCTCCGTCAAATAAATTAATAAAATAAAATAATACAGTATGTAGTAGCCAGTCTCCAAAATGGGCCTACATGATTCCCACCTTCTTATATTCATACCCTTTTGTAGTCTCCCCCACATTAAAAGGACCAACTAACCTATATAACCAGGAGGATACTATGTCTTTTATCACCTAACCTTAGGTTTAGGTGATAAAACACAGCTTTTCCCTTACTCTCTCTCTCTCTCATATCTCTCACTCTGTAAGAAGTCAGCCTTGCCATAAGCACATTGTAAGCAGCTCTTTGGAGAAGTTTGTGAGGGTGTGGAACTAAGGCCTCTTGCCAACAGCCAGCATCAACTCCCCAGCTCTGTAAATGAGCTGTGTTGGAAGTATATCTTCCAGCCCCAGTCAAATTTTCAGATATTTGCAGCCCTGGCCAACTTCAATCTTATGACAGACCCTAAGCCAGAACCATCCAGCAAAAGTGTTCCCAAATTCCTGACCCACAGAAACTATGTGAAATAATAAAAGCTGATATTTTAAGTTACTAAGCTTTGGGGTAATTTGTTCACAGCAATAGATAAATAAATAAATTTAACATAAGGCATAATTTAAATAGATAAATAAATATGTATACAAAATAAATTGGAATTTTGAACATACTCTCCCATTCTTCTTAAATTAATTGTAACTTCCGAGGTACAGTTACAATCTCACAAAAAATGCAGTCACCTAAAATGGGAAGAAAACATTGAGATTAGTTTTAGGGAGTGTTGAATGATAATTAAATTACTTCTATACCCTTTTAATAACAGAAATTTAAAGAATTACAAGAGCTGCAGCTTATCCCTTCTTTTTGCTTATTAGAGCAGTCCCAGAGATAGAAGAACCCCTGACATCATGTAATTAATGACAAAAGCAATTATTGATAAATGCAATCTTTGAGTCTCTTCTTATGGTAAATTAATGTACAACATGGTTTTCGTATTTTTATTATATTCTGATTTTTAACTGGCAATATCTATAGATTTACTTTTGTTATTCTGATTACTAAAATATTTAATTTGATCATTCCATCTCACTGATCTGTCAGATAACAAAATTTATTGCACCTGGACTTAGAAGAACACTTGAGATTGTATTTAGAAAAGCTGTATTTTTCCTGAAAATCAGTTTACTATTTACTATCAAGATGTTACGATAAGCCAAAATCCTTTCTGTTTAAACAAGCTTTACAACGAAAACACCCTATGGAGAATTTTGCTCTATGCTAAATGAATAATAAATGGTAAGTTTCCAGTATGATTTTGTCCACAACAAAGTGATCCTAAGAAGGGGGATACAAATGTATCTCATACAACAGAAGTATCATATGTAAAAATGAAAACATATAAAACAGAATCTTTATGTAAATTGAAAAAGATACGCCAAACTAGCCAAATTTTCTGATACAAGGGCAGTTTTAAGAGGAAGTATCATGGTGTAAGGAAGATTTTGTTCTTTTGATGTGTTGTTGTTTCTCTATTTTTCCTTTTTTTAAGGTTTGGGGCATAGGTAATGTGCTTCATGCAGGTAAGATAGGGCTATGCTGATCCAGTATCCAGTGTGTTCATGCTATTCTGGCTTCTCATTCCTCAATGCTAGAAATCTAGGAGTCATTCCTCCTTCATCTTTTTTATTATTTTTTTAAGATTTTATTTCTTTATTTGAGAGAGAGAAAGAGCAGGGGGAGGGCCAGAGGGAGAAGCAGGCTCCCCATTGAGCAGGGAGCCCAACTCAGGGCTGGATCCCAGGACCCTGGGATCATGACCTGAACCAAAAGGCAGAGGCTCAACTGATTAAGCCACCCAGGCGCCCCCATTCCTCCTTCATCTTGACACCAGCATTTCCCAATCCAAACCATCACGAAGTCCTGTGGATTTTATCTTCTATTTCCATGTCCCCCAGTACCATGCTGGACCTGACAGTTGTTTCTTGCTTGAACAACTCTAATAGCCCCCAAATTGGAAGTGATCTTTATTTCTTTTGAAAGAATGATTATATATTATTTTTTATTTTGCAAATGGAAATACAAGTGAGGATGTAAAGCAGCTGGAAATAAGTTATGATAAGGGAGAAGGAGTTACCCATGACAATCAACAGGAAGGCCCAGCAAATAGCATTTCACAGAAAGCAAGTTTCTTATGGTCCAGAAGGTGGAAGAATAAAATTTTCTTGTTATAATTTGTTTACTTTTTTAAGGAAATGGCTGGTGTATCAATATCTAAAAGAGACAACTCATTATTTATTCTAGAGTATTCCAGTTCTAACTTTGTAATGGGATGTTAGGCTTCTCATGATTCTTGGAAAAACTGTCATTCCCCAAATATGCAATTACCTTGCTATCCTCTTCTAAAAGTCAGTATTTAAAAAAAAAAAAAACTATTAGTTTAAAGGGAAAAATATGTAATCAAATTTCCAAATGTTTCTTTTTAGTCTGTGTTTAAATAGTTTGCATGTTTAAACTGAAATTACATTTCTAATGGCTTTCATTTCTCTTCAGTCCAGCCCCAAACTGTATTTTCTTTTTTCCCCATTTTTTAAATTTAAACTCAATTAATTAATATATAATATATTATTGGTTTCTGAGGTAGAGGTCAGTGATTCAGCAGTCTCATATAATACCTAGTGCTCATTACACCACATGCCCTCCTTAATGTCTATCACCCAGCCACTCCATCCTTCCACCCCCTTCCCTCCAGCAACCCTCAGTTTGTTTCCTATGATGAAGAGTCTCTTATGGTTTGTCTCCCTGATTTCGTCTTGTCTTATTTTTTAAACGAAGAATTGAAAATCAATTTTTTAAAACTGAAAATCTAATCATGTCTTTCCCTAGAACCCTTCTATGGTTTCCCATTGCCTTAGGACAAAAGCTAAAATTCTAAACTTGGATTCTAATTCTAAACTGCATGATCTGCTCTGTTCCTCTTCAGATATCCACTTGGCACTGCCCTTTTCTTGCTCTCATGGCTCCAGGCTCGATGGGCTTCTTTCAGTTCTATGGAATCATGCCCCTTTCCAACTCAGGGTCTTTGCACACACTATTCCTTTGATTTGAAACATTCTTCCCCTCACTCTTCACCTTGTAAAGTCCCACTGATCCATCAGTTACCAGCCTAAATCAAAGGCATTTGGCTAGGCATCTGTCATTTGCTCTAAATCAATTTCCACCATTTCTTACACCCTGAGAGATTGACCCTTATGGAGCGCATCAACAGGAGATTCCCTAAGTGTAGGAGAGTGAGATCAACTGTTATCCTCTCAGCTCCCTCCCTGCCAGATCACCAGTGGTTGGCTCTGTTTCTCTATTAAAGGCCATGGCACCTGTCAGGCAATCCTCTCCACATTGCTCTCTCTTGGGGTCTTGGGTAACTATTTCAGCCCCATGTCCCTGGAGACTATGTCATCCCTTATAGTTTCACTCCTGCCTACGCTTTTGTAAGCAGACCCTTATGAAATTCTGAACTCTATCATTGTTTCCATCCAGGCAACACTGACTGATGCAATGACCTATATACAGAGATTTTTATACATAGTGTGCACATGCATACATATATATAAATATACATACATGCAAATAACTGAAACAAGTTTCATATAACAATTTATCCTTAATGTGATATTGATACCTTTGATTCTATCGTATTTTGCCTATAATACTATAAAGTATTATAATCACAATCTACTACTGGGCCTTCACCTGCAGTTTGAAAAATGCCCTAAATGACACTTCTGCAGGTGACACTTTCCCTGACTCATCAGGCTGGATCAGGACTCCACTGTTCACTCATTGCACTCTTATTTTCCTGCAGAGTTCTCCTCACAATGTGTAATGTTGTCGTTTCCCCCCACTAAACTTAAGTGTCATAAAAGCAGGAACGTGATAGTGACGCTCACTATCATATCCTGTTTCAGGCACTGCAGTCAAGAAGTATTTGTAGAGTGAATTAAAGAACAAAGAAACAAAACTCACATTTAATGCGTTATTCCTCCCAGGACTACTTACATTTGGATTTCTAGTACATTTAATAGTGGGACTTTTAGTGTATTTCTGGGACACAGAAAACTGGATAGAGGGAGTGGGTTATAAGGTACAAACATTCTATCCTGATGTATTTATGAAAGGACTTCAAATATGATTTATAGATACTATTTCATAAAACTTTGGAGTCACCCTTTACTCCTTTCTCCCATTCCTTATCCATCAGCAAATCCTGTCAGGGTTACATTTAAAATATATTCAGAATTCCAGTACTTATTACCCCTGTCTACATGCCATCATCTATCAGGTTCACTACAATAGCCTCCTAATTCATCTTCCTGCTGGTGTTCTTGCTTCCCTTCAGTCTCAACAGAGTGACCCTGCTAAAATGGAAGTCAGATTGAGTCACTCCTCCAGCCAGAACCCTCAAATGGTTTCTCATCTCAGAGTAAAATCCTTTTTTACAGTGGCCTCCCTGCTTTTTTTTTCTCGATAAATTTTTCTCACGTTACTTTCTAATGTGCCATATATTTTACTTGCTTATTGTCTTGCTCCCCCTACTAGGATGTAAGCTCTATGAGGGCAGAGACTTCTGTGGTTTCGTTTACTGCAGTGTCCTCCGAGCCAAGAACAAAGCTTGGTACATAGTAGTTAATCAATAAATTGCTGGATAAATGGATGAAGCATAGAGAAACCCAAATAAATGTGCAATAATTAGGCAATGTAAATCTCTTATATCCACTAATCTATCTCATTCTCGTCTGCAAGTATTGACTGAAGACCCATTTCGTGTAGGCACGGTGCTCTTTAAAAGGCATTAAGGCCTTTTCAGGGCAGTCCTATTCAGTCGAGTCAAAACGAAGGATGGGGGTAAGAACTTAGGTCATTTCTTGAAAGAGATAAAGGAGTAGGAGGAAAGAAGTAAGGGGGGAAACTTAAAGAGAAGGGAAGAGCTCGTCCTGCCTTCGTGCTCCTGGCCTTTCTGTTCCACGCTAGGATCCGAGAGTCTCCGTTCACCCTACTCCTCTGTAGTAGGAGGGAAAGATGCCCCCATGTTGGCGAATCAAATCTGGGATACCCGAGGCGGGGAGATATCCTGCAATCTGCCTTCACTTTTTCCACTGAGGAACCAAGCTCTGGTGTTTCTCTGGCAACGCTCAGCTTTGGGGGCCCTTTTCTTCTCCTCCTCTAGCTGGCTACCATCTTGCCTCCCTCTGTTATAAAATACGTGTTACAGCTCACAAAGATGAAAGGACTTAGAGAAAGAACTATAAGAGTGCACTTGAATGTGGTTTGTTTCAGTCAAAGACATCTGAGGCTTTTTATTTTTATTTTTTTTTCTGGCGGTTGCGGAAGATGCCTAAACTGGGGGCGGGGCAGAGAGGTGTTTATCCCACAAGGCCACGCGGCGGGGCTTAGCCTTTCTTTTTCCGCCATCTTGGAGTCGGTGGAGGTGAGGGGAGGTTTTGTTGCTGAACTTTGGGTGCAAATAAGTGCGGTGAGCTCAACCGTACACCTCGGTAGGGCACTGGTGCGGCTGGGAGGCTGTGCCAGCCAGTGATTTCTGTGGATTCCAGCAACAGGGAGGACAGGATTGAGGAGATGTGGGACTGATGGTGCTGATCCCCGCACGCCCGGAAAACGGGCGCTCCCGTAATCGGTTGCTTCCTGGGCCTTAGCGGAGTGATAGATGCACTTTGCCCGTATGTAGTTCCCTGTTTGAGGCAGTGCTCCTTTAGGATGAATTCTTTTTCCGTACGCTCCCACTCCAGACCTGGCTAGGTCTACAGTCTCCGTTTCCTCAGCATTTCCTTTCCCATACAATTCTTTCTGTGTGCTTCTCTGATTACTCGCTTTTCATTTTTGTTCTTGCTGATCGTGGTATGAGTTTTCTCGGGGCTTCCTTTCGGAGTTTTCAGGAGCTACTTGTTTTATTCTGGAGTCTTGATACTTTTCGTTGTGGTCTTCATTTTGAAGTTTGCTCAGTTATCAGGCTTTCTCTGAGGTTGGGAAGTCTTGCCCGACTGTGCATCATGTAGATGTCATAGTGTAATTATGTTTCCCCGTACTCTTAATGTGAAATGCCGAGCAAAAAGGAATGTGCCTGATAGGTTTAAGAAACGAAGAGAGGACCGGGTGGGAAACGTGCGTTCCAACATTTTAAACTGCTTTTTTGTTTGTTTTAAGGCCTGCTGGGAACAGGACTCCTATAACGCCAAATAATGTCTGGAAGGTACGGGTTTTAAATATAATTGCTTTGTATTTGTAGTTTTTTGTCTTAACAAGCATGAGCATAAACATGAGCTTAAAACTGGGGGGGGAAAAACTAGATATTTGCTATAGATAACATTTGAGTAGGGCTTATTACAAGTCAGATCTTACCAGTGACGTGAAACGAGATCTTTTAACAACTTAAAGTTACAAAGTTACTGTGTGTTTTGTCTTAGGCTGTGGTCCAAGGCCATTTTTGCTGGCTATAAGCGGGGTCTCCGGAACCAGAGGGAGCACACAGCTCTTCTTAAAATCGAAGGTGTTTATGCTCGAGATGAAACGGAATTCTATCTAGGCAAGAGATGTGCTTATGTGTACAAAGCAAAGAAGTAAGTTTATAGTATTAATAATGCCTTTTAAATTTTTAGTTGAGATTGGTTTCTTTTTCCTGCTCAAAGAAGAATCATCAAAAGATGTTGGTAAACTAATTGGTGCTGTTGTGTTTTTTCTACTTTGGATCTTTAAGGAACTTCGTGGGAGGTTATTGAAGGATGTTATTTGTCTGGGTAGTGTTGGATTTAGGTATCTTCTGCACTTAAAAAGATTACAGCTGTTAATTGTTTCAAGGAAGGAACCAACTCCTTATATTATGCCCCTCTTAAGGTGTTACAGAGCATTTTTTCATGTACTTTAATTCATTTTGTTGCTTTCTTGAAATTATGTTGTATACATGCTTAAAAATGATTGTTAAACTCATTAAACCAATTAAAATTTCTGGGGACATGGCTTTCATCTTTGCCCCCCATTCCTCCAGCAACAAGAATGATTTGTAAGTCAAATCACCTGTCCCGTTGCTCAGATACCAACTTTCCCCCGTCTTTAGTAAAAACATGTCATTAAGGAGGCTTCAAGACTCTATTCATTCAGGGCTTTCTATTTCTAATCTTAGCCCAGCTAGGATTCACTCCATGATACCTTCTGCCTTTCCATATTTTTTTAAAATATTGCAGCTATTATCATCTGACATTTAATATATTTTACTTAATACTTGGTTATCTCAAAGGGATTTTTTTTGTAAACGGCAATTTTGTATTTTATAAAATTACAAAAGATACATTTATAAAAGTGTCTGGCATACAGTAGGTACTGAAATATTTGTTGAATGAATGATGCCCCAGACTTTTTAGTTTCTCAGGTGACTTAGTGGTTAACTACAGTTGTGAGTTGGTGACCACTGGTCTAGAGGTCACCTTGAATTTGTATCACTCTACACTAGTTGCCTGGGTTCTCACCTCTCACCTCTCTTACCCCTTTAAAAACCAGCAACACAGTGACTCCTGGTGGCAAACCAAACAAAACCAGAGTAATCTGGGGAAAAGTAACTCGTGCTCATGGAAACAGTGGCATGGTTCGTGCCAAATTCCGAAGCAACCTTCCTGCTAAAGCCATTGGCCACAGAATCCGTGTGGTAAGTACAGTTATTAGCAGTATGACACTCTGGGGGCAAACTAAGCTCAGGGGTTTGGGCTCTGATCTCTAAAGACTATTGTGATTTTAAAATCACCCCATGAGTTTTGCTTCAAAATCATCTGCTACTGTGTAGATGTATTATGAAATATCAGATTCCTGGCATTAGAAGGAAAGTGAAGGCAAAGTGTTCAGATGGATTGTATCTAGATTTCAGATTTTGCTAAAGCTTGGAGTTGGGGGGGATAGTATTTAAATGAACAATTTTCTGGCAAAGATTTATTGAACACAGAAGTGATTGTTAGAAAAGAAAAAATTTTCCTGGCATAATTCATGATATTCCCGTTTCTTCATCATGACAGTCTTGTTAGAATAGGTGTTGTTATTAGCCTTATTTTATATAAGAAAACTGATGCTCATGTTTCTAGGTCCCAGGACTTCGGCTCAAGCCATTGAGTCCATTAGCTCCTGTTTTCCTTAGTATTCATTTTTAGTAGACAGGGCTACATTCTTGGGATCACATGGTACTTTTGAACGCTTATGAGCCCTTGAGATTTTTCATCAGAATGTTTTTACTCTGTTACTGGAAGAAGCAAAATTAAGTGGATTTTCAGTGTTCTCTGTACCTGTTCTTAAAGTGTGTTCATCTAGATACTGTAAGAACTTAGTTCTCTCCCTGCTAAGATGTAAGCAAGTCACTGGATCCCTTCTAGAGATTAGTAATGGGACAGTGGGAGGAGATTTATCCATATTGTTGTACTCAGCTGACATTTACAAATTTGTATGTAACATGCATTTAATTACACCATGTTTTCTTTTTTCTTCTAGATGCTGTACCCCTCAAGGATTTAAATTTAATGAAAAGTAAATAAAGGTGTAGATTTGTTCTCTTGTATTTTTGTTAAATGGCTTACCATTTTCTTTTTCCTAAATTCAAGTTGCTGTATTTAAATGGTGATGATTATCCAGCATTTTCAGAGTACAAGGAAGCCAGGGAGCTATATGTAACGGCAATCACAGAGATTTAGACAATAGGAGGGTTTTAATGAGGGTAGAGAGATTAGAGTATCTTAATACAAGGCCTTATGTGATGGGGGAGGGAAACAAGCTTTGATTGCAGCCAGTGGAAAAAGTATGTTGGAAGTTTTAAAGTGATGGAGCATATGTTGGAAAAGCTTTTGTACAAATGGAGACCGTGTATTCCAGGAAGGACAGAAGCCAGAAATATTAGCCAGTACAGATACATACCATAACACTTTGCCCGGTTTCCGCATCAAAATGGATCTATAACTCTTAATATTTCAACTTTGGTATTGTGGTATATTATATGTAACTGCCTTCCTCATTAGATTGGGAGTCAGTGAAAGAGACTTAAAATTATTTTGACCTCCTTAATTACCTTAAAGTGTATGCACTTAATATAGATTGGGAAACTTGTGACGTAAAAATGATAGTTGCAAGAACCTAAAATGAGGATTATATTGATAGTATCTGGCAGCTTGTTAAGATAGGCAAGGATGAGATATCCTTGGGATGTGTGACTGGACAAAGCATGCCAGTATGGAACACTTGACTGGTAATAATTTGTAAGTTAAAAAAACCAAAATATGTCTCAAGAAAAAAGTACTCTTAGTGAGTTGGGAGTGGGGGGAGGTTGCCCGGATAGTGTAGTTTGGTTCCATGTTTTAATGTAGTAAAGTGTAGGATCGAGATATTTTAGTGTAAGATGAAACCAAAGCAGGGCTGCAGGGTATTTCAGATCTCTGAATTGTTGAAATAAAGTTTGAACCAAGGCATCAGTTTGCATTGTGGTGGCTGTAGATACTTGATTGTTGCAGGAGCAGCCAGCTAATCCTTTTATTAACCACCAAATCTTGACATTCCACTGAAAATACCAACAAGAAACTTGAGAATTGGTCAAACTGAACCCCTTTTACAGTTTTTAACTATACTTGCAGTAGCATACAGCAATTATAAGAAAGGTGTGTTTAGCCCAGTGGTGGTCCTCAAGCCAAAAGTTGCTGTTGGAAGGAAAAATACCAGCTTTCACAGAAATGGCCTTGTGCTTGTACTGCCAGTCTCATTTGGGCTTATTTGGGAACAATAGCTTCAAGGCAAAAGAGGTGGATGGGTCAGATGCAGCTTTGGTCCAATGTTAACCATGTTTTCTTCACAAGATCTAAGCAGTGTATTTCAGGGCCACAATTTGGTTATAAGAATCCTAAGAAAATTGACATTGAAAAATTGGGTCAATGGCAAGAAGTACCAATCTCAGACCACCAGTGAGATTTAGTTGTTGAGAAACAACATAATCTAAAAGTATTCTCGTGTCATTTAAGTAGATGTATCAGTACTATTTTTAAATTTGAGAGTGCGTGAGTTGGGGGAGGGACAGAGGGAAAGGGAAAAATCTCAAGCAGACTCCCTCCACAGAGTTTGTAGCTGGATGTGGGGCTCCATCTCACAACCCTGAGACCTTGACCTGAACCAAAATCAAGTGGGCTGCTTAACCGACTGAGCCACCCTGGTGCCCCAAAGATGTATCAATATACTTGGAGTGGTTAGGAATAGAGGAAGAAATGCTTGGGGAGGTATTTCATAGAAATTGACTTTTAGGGGGCACCTGGGTGGCTCAGTTAAGCATCTGCCTTCGGCTCAAGTCATGATCCCAGGGATCGAGCCCTGTGTCAGACTCCCAGCTCAGTGGGGAGTCTGCTTCTTTCCCTCTGCCTCTCCCCCTGCTTGTGTACTCTTGTCGCTCATTCTCTCTATCGAATAAATAAAATCTTTAAAAAAAAATTGACTTAGGATTTATGTGAAAGCAGAAGGCATCTGAGGAACTCTTCAACTGGGTTATGTAGTGTAACTGAAACCTAATATTGTGGGCAATAATTGGAAAATAAATAGAAAACTAAGAAATGGCCAGATTATGCCAGGTTTTATGTGCTGTACTAAGGATTAAGAGAATTCAAAGACCAACTGAGGAGTCTTCAAAGTTAACGTTCCTAGCTTTGGTTGTGGGATGGATAACAGTACATTTACGAAGTTGGGGAACCAGAAGATCATTGGGGGGGGGCGGGGATGTTGAGTTTGAGGAGGCTATAGGATACTCAGTTGTGAACATGTCCAGGAAGGCAGCTGGATATTCATGTCTGGATTAGGCATATAGAGGAGGAAACCTCAAAGCCTGTCACCTTTGTAGGAGTTTTAAGTGAATACAGTATTCTGAGAAGGATGATGGAGTAATGGAGGTGGATAAACAGGAAGTGGGCATTTGGGCAAAGAAGTCAGAATCCCTAGGATGACCTGAGTAAATGCAGTGGCAAAACAACTTTGTATGCAAATTTGTCCTCTTCAACTGATTTAATAATACAGTACTTGTAAATGAGAGGGTGCTTTATGCATTTCTGTTCCCATAATGAGATTCGGTGAGTACAAAGATAGTCCTCAAACCAAAGGTACCACTGGAGGAATCCCGTGTTTCAGAGAAATGAGCCTGAATGGCTAGCAGTTTGTTGGCTGGATCACTGAAACAGCTTCTCCCCAGTATGACACAACTGTTAAAATTAGGAACTTGATGTTGACTGGTGCTATTCTCTGTTCACAATTCAGTTTCTTTGTAATCTTGTAGTGGAAAAAGCACGTGTCCTGAAAGTGATAAATTTGGTTTGGAGTCCCAATTTCCACTAGTTGTGAGATGATAGACTCATGTAATGAGCCTTTACTGGTAGTGACCCACCCTTGAATTTGAGTATATTATCTTCAATGAATGGCACAATCTTGGGGCTATTCTTTCCTATCCCCAGTTCCTAGTATAGTAATTTACAGTATTCAGTTCTGGTTAAATGATTTCCAGTTCAGTGCTTCCAATTACTTGTTTTAATTGTTTAATGGGCCTTGGGGGAAATACCCCAATTTTTTTTTTTTTTTTTTTTTTTTACAGTTCCTCGTGGCCTAGATTGAAGGTAGAGTTTCCTTAATGGCAAGGATCCACCTGGTCTCTTCCTGGGTTAAATGCAGTTACAATTCTTGTGGTTCTGTTTGTTTTTTGTTGCAGTTTTTGTGTTTTTTTTTTTTTTTAAGTAGGCTCCACACCCAATGTGGGGCTTGAACTCACTACCCAGAGATCAGGAGTCACATGTGTACTGACTGAGCCAGCCAGGCGCCCCTAATTCTTGTTTTGTTTTATAGAAGTTAAGGGATGGGGTTGGATAGGAACGAATATATTGATTTTCTAAGAAATGACTAGTAAAGAAATGGTTCTAAAATTGGTGACTGAGGATAAAAAGTAAAAATGAAAATTATATTCCATTCATCTTTACACAGAGGGCTAGACCATTAGAGGTTCTGCATCAGTTTAAGCCACCTGGCACCGAGTGTGGATGCCTTTGAGGTGAGTAACTGAATTAAAGAGAAGCGGCCTCATACCAACATCGCCTTACAGCACCCACTGGTCTTCCTACAGCTCAACTTACGTGGTCCGCTAAATGGCATTTATTGGCAGGCTTTGCGCTTTGAGACGCGACGGCCGCGATGCGGTTCTCGTCCGCGGTGAACTGGGGGGTGATGCTAGCCAATCAAAAATTCCGCCGGCGGCGAGGGGCGGAGCTGGTGCAGGGTGGAGACGTCACGTACTCCATGGTAACGACGCTCGGCCCGAAGATGGCGGCCGAGTGGAATGGAGTGGCAGGTTCCACCGGTTCAGGCCCTGGCCCTAGCCAGCGGCGCTGGAGTAGGTCTTTATGGGTCCGAGGCGTTTTACTCCTGTTGGGCGGCCTCTGGGCAAGCTCCACATCAATTCCTGTCTCCTTGGACAGTTCCCCTCCCTGCCGGCACCACGTCCCCTCTGAGACTGAGGTAGGGTGACGGAGGGGCGGGAGCGGGCGCTGTGAGGGTAAAGTAACACGGGAGGCGAAGATGTAGAGGGTAGTTGTTGGAACAAGGTGTGTTGGAAAAGAAAGCAAAATTGGACCAGAAACTGAACTCTTAGGCGGCTGGACCTGCTATTGTTTCCAGGTGGACTTTGGCTCCTGAGGCCTTGACCCAGCCCCTCCAAAAGATGTCGCTGGAGGCTCTTGGTCTGCCAGGAGAAAGAATTCAAGGACAGACAACACAGTAGCTGAGCAGTACAAGCAGGAAAGTTTCTTAAAGTGAAAGTACACTCTAGAGATGTGAGAGCGAGTACGCTCAAGGAAGTGCTGAGCCCCCCTGGATTTAGGTTTCTGTTATTGACAATTGCTAACAAAGGGGTGGGATATTTATTACTTGAAGTGAGGATTTCTTAGAAGCAGGGTGGTCTCTTCCAGGAATGTAGGTTATGCCCTTTTTCTTGCCTTATTTGCCCCATAAGGAACTCTCGTGGAGATTTCAGGGGCGGAGCTCCTTCAAAACCGCAATGCTAATGATATAACAACTGTATAATGAGCTTAGGTCACTCAAGCTGTCAAGATGGAAGTCCCGTGTGGTTTTCTTTTGGAGTGCTGCCAGGACAGGCCTCTTCCTTATAGTTGGCCATGACTTCCTCTTTGCTGACCTCGCGGCATCTTGTTAGAAGCCAACTAAATGCCTACTCTAACAGTATTAACTCCCTTTCTGCACCTAGCAAAGTGGCTGAGTTAGGCACTCAGAACATGATGGCTTTCCTGTACTGAGAGTTGTACTTAAGTAGTTGTAGAGCAGGGTGGTTTTCAACTTGAGAGTGCATCAGAATCACCTACAGGATTTGTTAAAAGCACAGTTTGCTGCCCCACTCCCCCACTTTCTGACTCATTACGTCTGGGATGGTACCCAGAATATGCAGTTCAAGTTCCCAGATGGTTGATGATGTTACTTGTCCAAAGACCACACTTTGTGCTCTACTGACCTAAAGGTTTTGGAAGAAGTTGATAGGAGAACTAAAGGCATTGCAAGGATATTGGGGGGTTCTCCAAAGACAAAATTCAGGCTTATTTTCAAGTTACTTCACCACATTGCTTGCTTTACCCTATTCTGCTACCCTCCTTCACACTTTCTCTCCCTCTCTACGTTCTTTTAATCCTAAAGTTCCCTAAGTTCAAGACAGTGAGCTGAAACCACTCCAGCAGAATGCTTTTTCCATTTCGTAGTATGTCTTATCTATAATCTCTTCTGGCACTTGAACCAAGTACTGCTGTGTGGGGAAGGTTTATTTCTCAGGCATTTCTTTGTAGTCTTGCTTTTGTAGTTAAGTTGTAAGGTTCCTTCGGATGAGGTTTATGTCTTTGATTCCTCCACAGTATTTAGAGAGCCCACAATAATCAGTGTTCTTTGAGGAAAGGAGATAGAGTACTTGGGGCAGGGTGGCATGTTATGATTGATTTTATAATTTGTCTTATTACTTTATCAAGAAAGACTGATCTAGAAATTTTCAGTTCAGCCCAGATATCTAAGACTACTCATTTTTGTGGTAATTTTCAAAAAGTTCTATGTATAATGTTCATAACCATATGTGCCAAAATACTAAGTTTGGGGCTTGTAGCTATATTCCAGCTTTTATCATGACTCTGCATTTTGGCTGAATTTTATTTATTTTTAGTCTCTTAGCAACTTTTAAGTTTATAATACAGTATTGTTGATTGTAGTCACTATGCTATATATTAGATCTCCAGGGCTTATTTATTTACTGGTTGCAAGGTTGTACCCTTAAACAGTATATCCCCAATTCTCCCGCCCCCGATGAATTCTCTAAAAAAAAAAAAAAAAAAAAAATCCTGTAAAACCCTGTGTTTCTTTCTTTGAATGTAGATTACAGTAAGAGAAAGCTATTCAAAGAACTGCAAAATCTCTCCACTAGAGGGAACCTAAATAGCTGTTTCTTCTAGTGATTGTTGCCAGTGTTCAAAACTCCAATTTATATTTGAACATCTCCGTGGATAGGGAGATCATCTCCAGAGGCAGCCCCTTTGCTTTTTGGAGATCTCCAGTATAAAGTTCTTTTTATAGAGATGAAAACTTTTCCTGAAATTTCTACCCACTATTCCTTTTTATGCCTCTTGGCTAAACAGACTCAGTAGTGATAGTGCGTCATATATTAAAAGCAAGCTGTTAAGTTCTTTTTGAGACTTCTCATCCTTAATAAATTTTCCTAGTTCTTCATAGAGTATGTAATAGCAAGTCCTCCTAACCACTGTCTTAGCTTTAACCTAGACATAAAATACAGGCAAGAATTATTCATTGTACTCATACTAGTGACTGCACCTCTGTTAAATGGTATAGGAAATTATGTTACATTTTTTGGGTTGTGGTGGGAAGTACAAAACATGTTGGGGGAAAAAAAAAAAGTGCGGAGGTGTGGGGAGGCGCCTGGCTGGCTAAGTTGGTAGAGTGTGAGATTCTTGATCTCTGAGTTCAAGCCCCATGTTGGGTGTAGAACCAACTCAAAAAAAATTTTTTTTTGGACACATTTAAGTTTTCAACTAACACCTCTAAGTTTCATTTTTTTAATTATGTAAGTTAAAACCAAAAAAAAAAAAAACCCAGAATAGTATAATGAACTCCCGTGGACCCATCACCCAGCTTTAACTCTTACCATATTCTCTCATTCTTGTTTCATATACTTCCACCCATTCCCCAGCCTCTCATTTGTTATTGTTACTTTTAAAAGTTTGTTGTTGGGTCACCTGGGAGGCTCAGTCGGTTAAGTGTCTGTCTCTTGATTTCTGCTCAGGTCATGGTCTCAGGGTTGTGAGATCAAGCTCCACGTAGGGCTTTGTGCTGGGAGTGGAGCCTGCTTGGGATTCTCCCTCTCTCTGCTCCTCCTCCCCCCTAAAAAAAAAAAGAAATATTTTAAACTTTTTTTTTTTTTTAAGTAATCTCTATGCTCAGCATGGGGCTCGAACTCACAACCCCAAGATCAAGAGTGGCATGCTCTACCAACTGAGCCAGCCAGGTGCCCCTAAAAGTTTTCTAGTAAAATTTACATATATTAAAATGAAATAAATGCAATCATGTACTTCACATGAAACTTGTAACCACATGATATAGAACGTTTTCATGTCTCCAGAAAGATCCCCGCCCCATCTTGTGCCAGTCTCCCCCGTCCAGATACCCCAGGCAACAATTGTTCTCATTTTTTTTTTAACATTAGATTAGTTTTGTCTTGGGACCCCTGTGTGGCTCAGTCAGTTTCAGCTCAGGGCATGATCCCAGGGCCCTGGGATCGAGTCCCCCATTGGGCTCCTTGCTTGGCAGGGAGCCTGCTTCTCCCTCTACCTGCTACTCTCCCTGCTTGTGCTCTCTCTCTCTCTCTCTCACAAATAAATAAATAAAATCTTAAAAAAGAAAAAGAAAGAAAATTAGTTTTGTCTCTTCTAGAGCTTAGTTTACACAAATGGAATTATGTAAAATATTTGTTATCCAATAGTAAATTGTGTAAGTAGCAATTGCTTTTTGTGATAGACCCTATTTGGTCTTTTTTTTTTTTTTAAGATTTTTATTTATTTATTTGACAGAGAGAGACACAGAGAGGGAACACAAGCAGGGGGAGTGGGAGAGGGAGAAGCAGGCTTCCCGCCGAGCAGGGGCCCCGATGCGGGGGCCCGATCCCAGGACCCTGGGATCACGACCTGAGCTGAAGGCAGACGCTCAACGACTGAGCCACCCAGGCGCCCCAGACCCTATTTGGTCTTAACTTAAGGGTATTATCCTTTTTATATACCTCTGAATTCAATTGCTAATAGTTGTTAAAGATTTTTGTATCTATGTTTATGAGTAATGTTGGTTTATAATTTCTTTTTTTAGTGAAGTTTTTGTTCATTTTTTAAAAAGATATTGTTTATTTAAGCAGGGGGAATGTTAGGTAGAGGGAGAAGCAGGCTCCCCACCAAGCAAGGAGCCCGATGGGGGACTTGATCCCAGGACCATGGGATCATGACCTGAGCTGAAGGCAGCCGCTTAACCGACTGAGCCACCCAGGCATACCTTTGTTCATTTTTGATACCAGAATTATACTGGCTTCACATAATGAATTGGGAAATGTTCCATCTTGTATTTTCTAAAAGAGTTTGTATAAAATTGAAATCATTTCTTCCTTAAATGTTTAGTATAATTCATAATTGAGACCACCTGGATGGGCCTGCCATTTTCTTTGTAGAGAGTTTTTAAGATACGTTCTCTCTCTCAAATAAATAAAATATTTTTTAGAAAAAGAATACTAGGGGCGCCTGGGTGGCTCAGTCATTAAGTGTCTGCCTTCGGCTCAGGTCATGATCCCAGGGTTCTGGGATGGAGCCCTGCATTGGTCTCCCTGCTCTGCCAGAAGCCTACTTCTCCCTCTCCCACTACCCCTGCTTGTGTTCCCTCTCTCGCTGTGTCTCTCTCTGTCAAATAAATAAATAAAATCTTAAAATAAAAATAAAAAAGAATATTAGTTGTAGATATTATTAAATCTTAAATATTAAAAACATTTTTTTAAAGAGCCCTTTAAAAGAAAAAAGAGTATTAATTGTAGATTTTTTGTAGATGTGCTTTGCCATGTGGAGAAAATTACCTTCTATTCCTAGTTTTTATCATGAATGGATGTTGAAAATTTTTTTAAGATTTTTTTATTCATTTCAGAGAGAGTGAGCAAGAGCACAAGCAGGCTGGAGGATAAGAGAGGGAGATGCAGACTCCCCGCTGAGCAGGGAGACGGGCAGGGATTTGATCCCAGGACCCCAGGATTATGACCTGAGCTGAAGGCAGATGCTTAACCGACTGAGACACCCAGGCACCCCTGAATTTTATTATATGTCTTTTCTGCATCAATTAATATAATTGTGTAGCTTTTCTTCTTTACTATGTTGATATTGTGAATTACATTGATTTTTTTTAATGATAAACTAGCATTGCATTCCTGAGAT